ATCACAGCCCTTCTGCAGGCTCCTGGAAACCTTGCATGGTCCTGAGACCCCAAGAAGTTCCCCTAGCAGAATGTTGGTGGGAGCCACTCCTTCTGCTTGGGACCAGCAGCCAATCATTCACAATTATAACCACCTGCACATATTACAGTGGTAAATACTTGCTCAACTATGGGACCCCCACACCATGTGTCTCGGAACAAGCACCTGCCCTCTCTGGGCTGGGTTTCTGTACCTATAAGGCTCCTTCACATCTATTCTGTATAAGTTGGGTGGGACCAACAGTTTACAAGTCTGCAAACCAGCACCTCACTTGGATACAAACCTTGGAAGGGAAAACAATGCTCTCCTGCAGTAATGCTCTCCTGCACTATGACTGCTTTATGAGTCATCACAGAAATCAATTAGCTAACACCCTGGCTTCCTGTCAGCCAAATCTCGCATGTGTGGCACTACGACAGGCCTGGCTGCTGAGAAAACAGTGCCAAAGAGCCAGAGCTGGTCTAGTTCTATGCAACAGCCTCCCTCATTTCATACACAGACGTGAGCCCTTGGTTTTCATAAGAATACTAGAATACTATCATACTTTCATAGAATACTATCAATAAGCCACGCACATACGTTAAATGGGTGTGCAGCTGGCAGGATGGCGCAGTTTTCAGTGGGCCATCTCTAACCTGGGAGAGACACACTGCTGGCACTGGGCCGGAATGGAATCTCACTTGACCTTGATCACTGACCCTTGGCCTTTTTTTTTCCATGAGAACATATGGTTAAATAGCTATAAGGGGCCCCAGCTTAAAGGAGCATAAAGTGGGGAGAAGACAGAAAAGAGACAGAAGTGGGCCTCCAGCACTTGGGGCACTGTCCACATTGGATACGCTGGCAGGGACAACAACAGTTTAATGATTCCTGTCCTCGTTGGAGATTCCCACGCCAGCTGGGGAGAGCGAGCAAGGTAGTGGATGCGGGGAAGTCAGTCCACTGGATGGTCCTGTACAGGTGATGCGGGCTGTGAGACAGAGGCAGGCAGAGCAGGGAGGAGGCGGGAGGGGAGGGGTGGCCACACCCAGCAGGTGGCAGTGAGCTAGACTCCCTAGGGCTGCTCCTGGGGATGCCTGAGGGAAGAGTGCAGCAGGCAGAGGACACACAGGCCTTGGTGCTGGGGCAGGCACAGAAAAGTGAGCAATCTCAGAGGAGCAGTGCCAGGCAGCCACGCTGGAAGCTGACTGCAGGGCACAAGCAGAGCTGGCGCCCTGTGAGCAGCGAAGCAGGAGGTGGTAGTGGCCCGAAGGAGGGTGGCAGCGGGCAGAGAGGGGCTCAGGTCCTGTGCACATCCTACAGGCAGAGCCACGGCACGTGGCTGGAGGAGGAGATGTGGGGAAGAGACACAGGTAAGACTTGGCCAGCGAGACTCAGGGCACCCTACAACCTCAGCCCCGAGAAATCTATACACTGCCCCGTCCCAGCGCAGGCAAGCGCCATCCTATGGCAGTAGGAGGAAAGAGGTCAAGAGGGCCCTGCAGATCTGGGCACCCCACGGTAAGGAGGCACCACGCAGATGTCGACCCGGGGGTGTGGGGACATCAGGAAACAGCTACAAAACCACAGCCCAATCCGAAAGGACACCCAGGGGAAAGCCAAGGTACAAACCTCGGTGTTATAAAAAGGATTTTGCCTAAGAGGGGAGATACTGGGACTCGAAAAGCCAGCTGAAGCACTGCATGTGAGGTGTTCTCCTTGATTTCCACCCAGCCTTGGGAGAAGAGCGCGCTCCCCTGTCCTGACTGGTGCAGGAGGACCCCGGCCGCAGACCAACACCCAGGAGCTGTGACGTCACCCTTCTGTGAAGCAGAGGAAGGGGAACAAATGCTTGGCCTCTCAGGACCTTTTAGGGTCATGGGGTGAGGGCCTCAGGAGGTGGGTAAGAATCTAGTGGAATCTGGGACCTGGTTCCATGGGGATAATATTTACCCCAAACATAAAAATAACCCCAAACTGTAAAAATGCTGCAATTAACAGTGCAATGTCAGCATCTGACAAAAAGAGCACAAACCTCCCTGCCATGCACAGGAGAAGGAGGGCAGCACACACCTCCCACTTTGCCCCAGGCAACGACACCAATTAAAAAATAACTGCGATCTTTGTTTAAAAAGAAACACAAAATGCTCCACACATCTGTTTTCAGCATTTCAAACTGAAAACATTATTCTATGAACACATCTCTCTGCCTCTGGTACTCCTGACTGCATCTCGGTTGCTGATGGACGTCCCCTGCCAGCCTCTGCTCTCCAAGCCCCAGGGAGCCCGGTCAAGCCCTCCCCACCCATGCCCTGTGCACCCCGCAAGGCCAGCTCCGTCCTCTCGGCAGCTGCGGAGGCCTGGGTGAAGCTGAGTGCTATTCCGCTCCCCCTCTCACTGCCCCACTTCCCCTCGGGGCTGGGTGTGTGCACTGCGCCCTGTGCTGGCTCAGGGTCGCTGGCTGAGAACCAGCTTCCCTGTAACTCTCTCAAGCTGCAGGAGGCTGAGGGCCGCACAACTGTACGTAAGAGATGATCACAAAGCACAGTCGATGTTTGTATTTTAAACATTTATTACAGTAAAAGACACATTACCACCCTGCCCCTCACTTCAAACACACTTATCCCTTCATTCTTGCCACTTTGTGAAGCAGCTTTGGAAGTCCTCTTTCATAGCTTCATGAGGTAAGATCAAAATATGGTGAGAGCCGCTGCCATGTGCCATCCGACAGAAAGGCAGGCTGGTAAAAATATTTCATTATGTCCTTGTCCACTTTATTCACTGGATCTGGCATCATGTGACTTCTGGCTCTTCCCCAAAGTCAAAATGACCATGTAAGGTAAACACGTTTTGAATCAATTCAGGACATCAAGGAAGCCCGACAGTGCAACTGAAGACACTCACGATAGCAGAGTTGCAGAAGTACTTCAGAAAGTGACAAAAAAGACGGGATAAGTTAGGTTTAAAAACAGGGGCAGGAGTTGGAAATAGATTAATGGCAAGGTTGTCTTTTACTGTAGTATTTTTTTTTAATTTCAGTGTTCATCATGTGTCAATCATACCTCATAATTATGAAATGAAAGTGGATCGTACACTTAAAATGGGAGAAATTTAAAGTGTGCAAATTATACTTCAATGAAGCTGTTTTTAGAAATCAGCACCCACTTCTCCACTGCTATGCAACTGCCTACAGTTTACCAACACCAGAGTGGTCATGCATGATACAGACAGGAGCTCAGGCTTCCAATCAGCTACCCTGTTGCGGCCAAGTGACCAGGGGTTTGTCACCCAAACCGTGGGAGCCTCTGCTTATTCATATATCCCTGCTTTACAAATGGAATGGCGCAGCCACATCCCAGAAGCACATGGTTGAGTGAGTGAGTGAGTGAGTGTGTGTGTGTGTGTGTGTGTGTGTGTGTGTGTGAGCACATAGTTGGGTGGGTAGGGGTGTGTGTGTGTGTGTGTGTGTGTGAGCACATGGTTGGGTGGGTAGGGGTGTGTGTGTGTGTGTGTGTGTGTGTGTGTGTGTGTGAGCACATGGTTGGGTGGGTAGGGGTGGGGGGGGAGGGGCAGCACCGTTTTGCTGGACTGAAGTTATACAAAAGTCCCAAGGGCCCCAAATGGCCCCAGGTCCCAGGTTGGGGCTGGGATGGACTGCATTTGGCATCTTCCACCTTTCTCTGGAGGAACCTTGAAATAAAGCCAGAAAACATGGCCTAAAGGCAGAGCTAGGGGTGTGGAGGATACACATCCAGAGTGGGGAAGTCACTCATCGCCAGGAGCCACCAGGTGGCCCAAGTGCACACAGCAGGGACTCAGCGCCAGGCAGTGAGTGCTCAGGGCCCAGCACAAGAAAGGCCAGCAGGAGGCCAAGGGCACCTCCTTCTTGGGCTCACACAAACAAAAGGCAGACACATGGCGGGCTGGAGCCCAGAGAGAGCACCCTTCACAAGAAAGCTGCTGCTGGGCCTCCCTGGAAGTGGCACCAAGGGAGAAGCAATCCTTGTGTTGTGTTCTTGGCTGGTCACTTAAGGTACTTTTCCTCCCTCTCAAGACATCTTGGCTACTGCTACTGTCACAGACAAAGGACAGCCAGACTCCTGTGAGACCAGGGTGAGAAGATGCCAACAGGAGGAAGCTTCAGTCCCTTCCCTAAAACCCTCGGGATAATATTTGGGATCCCTGGTCTCGTCTACCCCATAGGTGTGGGTTTTCTGTCTCCCCTGACACCTTACCTATCACAGGGGTCCCAGACCCAGAGTTCCAAAATGCTAATGAGGACTCCCCCGGAACGAAGGGAGACCCAGTCAGAGGGTAGGTCTGCCCACAGCCTAAGCGTGTATGTCGTGAGTCCCGGCTGCCCAGGGAAGGGGGCCAAGCCGCCACCCTCTTTCAGTCACCAAGGAGTGCCCTACAGGTACAAACTAAGCTAACTTTCTGGAAACTTACAGGAGGACCTTTCGCTTTCAAATGGACACTGAACATCGCACACCAAGGGGACTTACAGCCCTTGGTGCTCAGAGTCCAGCAGGGGATAAGACAGATGAATGACGGGATCCTAGAGGTCCCTCATGGAGCAGGAGAGAGGTGCCTCAAGACCCCCAAGACGCACTTATTTCCGGCATAAGGAGTCACACTCCATCACCGTGGAATCTGATTACACATTTACTGAGGGGCCAAGATGCCGGAGAGGCCACCGCAGCCTCACACACCTAAACCCACGCCTGCCTGGGACGAAGCAGTGGCCTCCCCTGCCTCTACGTGCACATCTGACCAGCTGGGACAGAGTCATGCTTACGGAATAAACGTGCTCTTGGCTTAATGCCTCAGGGCAATAAACACGTTCTTAAAATCTCACCCAAACCATCAGGTGTTTTCACCGTGCAGCTCCAAGCCGACAGCCAGAGCTCGGTGGCTAACAGCTGTCCAAAGCCAATGGCACTGCCCGGGCGCTATAGGGGGCCAGAGGGCCTTTCACTCACCAGACAGTGGGTCTTTGCCAATCATCAAAACATTGGGCAAATTCATTACGATCAGCTGCTGGAGAACTTCCTACAGAGACAAAGGGGGGAAAATACCATTAAGAACAGGAACCCAAAATAAAGAACAATTAAGTAAATTACAGTCAGTCAAGTCACTGGAGGAGTGTGCAGGCACTAAACGGTAACTACAAAGATACGAGGTAGCAGGCAGGACTATGAAGATATAAAAGTAAGTGAAAAATCAAAGTCTAATCGTACTTCCGCCTTGATCCTTCTCAAGTAAAAATTACGCCTGCATATGTACAGAGACAAAAAAAAAAAGACGAATGACGGTCCAAGGTGTTTTTAAAAGACACCCTTCATTGTTTTATTGTATGGCTTGTACAATTAAAATAGGGAACAAAGGGCCAGGGATACAGCTCAGCGGTACAAAAGCCTGCCTGGCAAGCGCAAGGTTCTGAGTTCGAGTCCTAGTACCCCCAAAAAAACAAACAAACAAACAAACAAACAAATAAAATAGGGAACAAAAACTAGACAGGTTCCCAGGCCTTTACAACCTGATGATTCAGAATCTAAGCGCTAAGCTGGTCTCTGATACAAGTTCTAAATATGGAGCCTTCTGCCACTACTAGCAGAGACTTCCTGGGACAGGGGCACATCTGAGCCAGTAATGGAAAGGCCAGGAGGGCCACCCATCACGATCTCTTGTCTGGGCATCTTTTTTTTTTTTTTGGTCATACTAAAGATTGAACCCAGGGCTTTCATAATAAGCTATGTCCCCAGACCTTTTCGTTTCCTTCTACTTGAGACAGGGGCTCGCAAAGTCACTAAGTTGCCTGGCTGGGCTTGAATTTAAGTCTTCCTGCTCATCCACCTAGAGCGCTGGGATTACAGGTGTGCACCCCCACACCTGGCTCTCCATGGTGGGCAGAGGAACAACCCACAACCTGCATCTTCCAGCCCATTTCTGCATCTTCCAGCCCAGGCCTCTCTTGTTTGTCAAGATCTGCTTTGCTTCACAAATCAGAAGTTTAAGGTCCAATTCTACAGAAGACCAAGAAAGGTGTAGACTCCCTAACTGCTTTAAAGGTGGTCCCTACAGAAATTCTTCACCAAGAAAGCTCCTTTTGTGTCTTTTATAAGTGCTTCCTTGGAGAAGCAGCTTGTCAGGAGTTGAACAAGGCACGACATGGGGAAGCTCTGTGTTCAGCAGCCTAAACAGGGGTCATTACACACTGGCTAATCCCACAGGGCCCAGCAGAACATCTCAGAGCCACCTCGGAGCCATGAACTAAGAGAGGGAGAGGCCAGACCTAAAGGACACACAGTGACTTCACCCTCCCTCCCTGCCTTCTACGGCTCCTGTCCACGCAGGAAATCGGGGTGGGGAGAAGATGCTACACCACGAGGTGTACCCAATCCTGAACACACAGCCCCACTACACATGCCGGAGACTGCCTTCCTCCAGCACCCAGGGCCATGTCACCACCTCCACCGTGGCTAACATCTTCTCAAGCATGTGCCAGGTACTAAGTCCCAACAAGGCAGCAGAGAAATACAAGCTGCACGACAGCCTCAGCTGTCCCTCAGGCTCAGAGGTCAACGTAAAAACTGTCTCCTGGTCACCAAAGAATTCCACAGTCTCAAATCCTCCCACAAACTGGGCAGAATGTACCTCATGCTTCCCTGCTAACTCAGGCAGGGGGAAAGCGTCTGCCCATTCTGTCACACAGTACCCTCCCTGCCTCGACATGAGGGTCCAGGGCCCAGGCTACCCTGGCAGACAGCCACGGTCACCTTTACCGACCACCAGCAGCGCCTCTCCAAATCCTAGCTGCTGGTCTTCTGCCACTGTCCAAGTCTCTGAGACCCAGTCCTCCATCAGGGCATAAATGAGATACCTATGGGCCGTCAGCTTTTATGTGTGTGTGCTTGAAATAATCTTTTTGTTTTGTTTTGTTTGTGTTTTGTGGCAGGGTCTACGTAGTGTAGGCTGGCCTTGAAATCACTTAGGTAGCCCAGGCTGGCCTCAAATGTGAGTGATCCTCCTGTCTCAGCCTCCTGAGTGCTGAGATTACAGGCAATATAATCTTGAAGTTCTCTCCAAAGTATCACTAGAAAGTGTAGAAAATCTATGTATTCTCCTTCCAAAATAGGAAGTTTAGTTTTTCATTTAGTCAGTCCTTTCTAATTTTCCCGAAAGAAACATGTCATCTGTGCAATTAAGAAATAATGTTTCATGAACAGACTTTTAAAAAATTTTCTTCCTTTCAAAACACCGGAGGTCTCCCAAGACCTAATTCTATGGACAAAAAAATGCCTGAGTCATTAACTAGCTCCCCTACAGGACAGTAAGAAGAATTCCCACCAAAGCAGGCTCAGGGGCCAGTGTTGTCCAATAATGAATAACTCCAGACACATTAATGTCAACTTTTCTTTAAAAAAAATTAAATGAAGTGGGAGAAAGTATTCTAATAACATACTTTAATGAAGGTACTATATTTAAAATACTTATTTCAACCCACAATATAAACATTTTTACATTGTTATCAGATATTTCACATTCTTTTTCATGCTGTCTCTAAACTCCAGTGTATATTTTACACTTACAGCACATCTTAACGTGGATGCTGAATTTTCCCTGGAAATACTTAACCTATATGATTTATGAACTGTACAGCTGAAAAAGTAGATTCCAAACAGGTGTGATGGACCATTCTTAAATCTCAGCTACTTGGGAGGCTGAGGCAGGAGGATCACAACTTCAAAGGCCAGCCCGGGCAACTTAGCAACACAGGTTCAAAGTTCTAAGGGAGTAGGGCCAGAGATGTAGCTCAGGGGTAGAGCAACTGTCTACCATGCACCAAGCCCTGGATTTAATCCCCTGCATAGAAAAAAAAAAACATTTTTGTCCTAACCCCAAGCTGTTCCAAATACACTTAAAATCACTTTCCTCTATCTGCATGAAGTATCAATTTTTAAATTCAAATTAACAAAATAGACCCACTTCTTCAGACACATGAGTTACACACATCTTGAGGCCCTGGCTGCTGTGTGCGGTTAGAGGCTACACATCAGCAATGACAAGGACTTGGTGGCTGAGAGTTCCCCCACACCCCTGCCCTCCCCAAGGAAAGCCCTGCGACGAGCCCAAGGCTGCCACAGTGGTGGGGCCTCAGGGCAACAGGCCAGGCCCTCAGTCTAGCTGGGACGTGAGCAGGGTGCTGACGAGAGGACCCTCCTGCCCTCCTGCCTGCGCCCGAACAGAGAGCCACTGTGGAGGCTGAGCTCCAGCACCTGGTCCCACCCCGGCTGGCTACTGCAAGGGGCGGGACCAAGTGACACTGGAGGGCAGCCCACCACTGTGCTGCTCTCAGATCTGCCCACCAGGGATGAGGGGCCGGCCTGCTGGCAGCCTCAGGCTTGGGGTGCAGGCCTCCCCGGGGATCCCTGCAGAGCGCGCAATGTAACCTGGGAGGGTGGATCCTGTACCCCTTTCACTCCTTCCCTGCTCCCTTTTAGGGAGGTTTACTTTCAGATTCTCCTGTAAAATGCTGGGGACATTCCGGATTTTCCTTTACATAACGAGAGTAGAGTAACTGCATTCTGGAATGGCCCACTGAGAGTTAACTGCATTTAACAAACCTCCAAAAGCAAAGCAAAAACAGGCCCAAGGAGCCTGCGAAGGCAGCCTGAGTTGCTGGGGGTGGGGAGGAGCAGGGCTGGAAAGCATTTTCTAATATAAAAGGGGTAAGACCCCACCTGACACCATCCAGGCTTCAAATCCAAAATCTAAGGCCTCATCAATCACCCAGGACCAAGTTGATGAGGCAAAACACACAGGGAGGGGAGAGGCCAGGACTCTTCCAAGAAGCATCTGTCACCCTAGCTGGGAGTGGGTCCCAGGGGCAGCATTTGTGTCCATACTTGGAGTCAACAGGCCCAGCAAGCTGCCCTCCCTCAGATTCCAGGCTTCCTGACCCTGACCTAGAGGAGGGTGTCCTGGGTAGTTCGGCAGGCCTTGCCCTCAAGTCCTGCAGCACCAGCTCTCAGTAGTCATCAATAGAGGAGAGTTCTGAAAACAAACCACAGAGCAAGCTAAAAGCCGGTGGCACACACCTGTAATCCCAACTACTTGGGAGGCTGAGACAGGAAAATTGCAAATTTGAGGCCAGCCTGGGCAACTGGGCCAGAGCCTGTCTCCAAAATAAAATAAAAGCCAGGCATGGTGGTGCACACCCATAATCCCAGCACCTGAGAGGCTGAGGCAGGAGGATTGCTCCGAGTTCGAGGGCTGCCTGGCCTACAAAGCGAGTTCAAGGTCAGCCTGAACTGCATGGTGAAACTCTATCTCAAAAAGACAAAGATAAGTAAATAAATAAAAATTAAAAAATAAAACGGCCTGAGTATAGCAGTGTACCTCAGTGCTAAAGTGCTTGCCTAGCATACACAAGGCCCTGGTCCAATCCCCAGTACTACCAAAAAGGTGTGTGTGGGGCGGGGGTTGGCAAACCAAGTGGATACTTCATGTATGCACACTGTTACATGGTTAAATGCATGTTTAATACAAGAGGAAAAAAATCTCAAAGTTGACAGGCAAGAATAGGCTGGGCGTGGTGGTGGTGCATGCCTGTAATCCCAGCACTCGGGAGGCCGAGGTAGGAGGATCCTTGTAAATTCAAGGTCAGCCTGGGCTACAAAGTGAGCTCAAGCCCAGCCTGAACTACATAGTGAGACCCTGTCTCAAAAAGACAAACAAGAAAAAAAAGAAAAGATAGACAAGAATGTTCTTTATTGGAGTGACTGGGACTAGACCAAGTTTTCCCAGCATTTTCTTGAGTCTGTAATATGTTTATATCACCTGAAATGGTTTCCCACACAAAAAACCACCGCCAGAGGTGTCTATTTACCAGGCATGTCATCTGTGAACATGACAGGCTTGCTATGAGAAGAAAATTATCCATCCTTTCAAGGCATAACTCACAAGCATCCAAAATAACAAATGAGATGCATTACCATGTTTGAAACTCTGTCCCCCAAATGAACAGCACCTCCAATGCGCCCATCAGG